TCTCTATTTCTCTCTCTCTCTCTCTCTCTCTCTCTCTCTCTCTCTCTCTCTCTCTCTCTCTTTCTCTCTCTCTCCCCCCGTGTCGTTTCTTTCGTTTCTTTTTCTTTTCTTTACTATTTTTTTTTCCCTGCTTGGGTTCATTTTATTTCCCCGGTTGTTCGATACCGACTTGGCGCTCCCTTCTTCGACTTTTTGTGTCAATCGCGACATAATTTTTTTTTTAGCGGGGAAAGGTAATGGCGGTTTGAGGAAATTTGCCCACGGTGTGTAATGCATTCCCAATGGGCTACAAACACTAAAAGCAGCCGGACAAAATTGGGTATGCACATTATTTGTCTGGGTATCTCCATAATATTACCATTCCAGTAGTTGGGTACAACTGCAATTTGGCCATGCAAACCTTGACCCTCCTCTGCCCATGCGATTCCCATTGACCGTTTTTCATGTTTGCAGCCTATCAGGGTTGCATTTTTTCCCTTTGAGGCAATTTCGTTGTCTTTGGTTATACCGGTCGTTCACTCGGGCTCATTGGTCATTGAAAGGCTGGTAAAATGAAAGGCATGGCCATTTGGGGGGGGGGGGGGGGTTCAATTCAAGCAAACGCATGACTGGTAGTTGCCAGTGGTATTTTCCTAGGAACCCCGCATTATGTGAAGGACCGGTAAGTGGCTGTGGTCCTCAAATTTTTGGAACGGCATGCTTTCTCAGGTCCTTGAAATTTGATCTCGAACGGCGCAGGCCCAGGCCCACATGTGATGTACGAGCTCCTGTATCTGAACTATCTTCTAAAGCCCCCAAATTTTGTTAAGTTTGACCCCCCCCCCTTCCTTTCCTATATTCCCAAGGTATGAACTTATCGCCCAGACCCTCTCGAATCCAAGTCGACGTTTTTTTTTTTGTAATTTTCTTCCAGAATTCGTGAACTTACGATGGAATTACGCGCGCCTTAGAGAGCGCGCTAAGAATTTTGTTCAACGGTTGGGAATCCCGAGATTTACGGACGTCTTTTTCGTTGACGCGTCATTTATTGCATTGAGAACTTCTCTTACCCACCCTTGAAAGATCTGTGAATTTTCAGGAAGCAATTGGATAGACGTAGGATTTTTGCGCGCTTAATCCCGCACGCTTGTATAACATTTGAATTTCGTATTCTTGAAATAGCTTTAGGATGAAACGCAATTGTTTTGATGGTTGTCTCTCTTAGGCACTAGCGCCGTACCTGCAAGCTTCCCCGCCTCCCGATAAAACCCGTACCATCTTCGCTCTCCTCCCCTTCGCGCCTTCTTCCCTTCGTTTGTAACTGTTTTCCCTCCCCTCTCTCTTTCGTGCTTCACCCCCACTCCTCCTCGTCTGAATCTTGGACTCGCTCTGTGCTACTTTTCGCGCTCGTCTTCTTTCCGCTTGCATCCCCATACCAGAACTCCCTACCGATCCCCTCCCAAGCAATCGAAGCCGCCGATCGACGTTGTGTAAGGAGAATTTCCCCTTGCACGAAGTAATCTGATTGGCTGCGCGAAGAGCCTGCGGGATCTATATGGCTTTCCACGGACGATCATCTCAAACTTCCCCTTCACCCCTCCCTGTCCCATGCTTCTCCCTCTTTTGTTCCCCTGCTTGCAACTATAAAACCCGCAACCGCTCTCGAAAAACTCTCTCTCAACCCATCTGCCAACTTTTGGGAAGTCGTGGCTAGGTGATGGGAATGCACGGCAGGTCGAAAAGTCTTGACGAGCTGACTGTAGTTTTGCAAGGCGGTGTGCCAGGTGGCCGTGACAGACTGCGGGATTTGCGCAAGTCGGTGTAGAAGGTGAGTTGGTGGGGCGACGATTGCTGTGGTGTGGAGGTTGGTATGTGGTGGCCAGGAGTGCCAAGGTAAGGAAGGTGTATAGGTACGAGAGGTTGTATGGTCTGGGGCCATAGTCAGAAAGCCGAAGGCTTGCGCACCTCAGATCTTCGAGTCCTCCTCGTATCCTCTTGGAAGCTAAGTCAACGACGGATTGCCGGTTTTGGTTCTCAGATCTATTTGTGTGCTTACTACTCTTTCTTTGTCTTTACTCCCCTTATTCGGTCGAGCCATATCTCTGACTATAAGGAATCGAAATTCCAACATGGTACCAACATGAGAACTTGAAATTTGAAAGCGCTTGCCTAACTCAGCTAAACAAACGCCTAAAAGACCTACAAAACTATCTATACACACAAAACGCACAGAAAACAGCGAACGCGCTCGCCTAACACGGCAAGCAACAAGATCAAAGTAGCTCTTCTCTGATCTTCAGGAAACTGTCCAGTGTTGCAAGATAAGTTGCTACGGACGTCATGACGTGGAGCAACTGCGCCCCTTCAACCCACCAGCGAGACGGGTTCGTCACGAACAGTGAAGCCCACCAAAGCCATGCACCACACAGATGCACGTGTGCCCAGATCCCGACGCAGGCCAGGCCTAGCCGACCCCGGATGCGTCCAATCGTCCACCCCTGTGTTTGCAAGATGAGTCACAACGGACGTCACCATGTGGAACCCCAACGCGGGATTTGGTTGGTGAATGTCGGTGGTGGTGCGAACTGCTCTAAATCGCGAGGAGGTGGGTGGGTCTTTGCGGGGTCTGAGTCTGCGGTTGGGGGGCCGGCGACCCAGAACCCTGCCGCGCGGGAGGTAGGCCGGATATGCAGGGTCTGGTGTTTAACAAAGGATGGACGATTTTGTTACTGGTGTTGAGTATCATTAGGGTTGTCACGACTGTTGTGATTAGTTGGTGATGAACTTAGATTTGATGATAATTTTCGTTGACTATTCAGTTGTTGGGGCTGCGGAGTTGGTTGTGGAGTTGGCTGTGCGGTGAAATCTAGTGGTGCGATGTGCTTGGCCGGTGATGCCTTGCACACTGAGGGCCCACCTCACTTTGTAAGGGATGCCGGGCCCGGTTCCCGGCTTTTATAAAAAAATCTGTCCCTTTTCTAAGAAAAGAAAAGGGAACATACATGAGGCCAACCGGGATTGAACTGAAGACCTCCTGAATACCACTTCGTGCCTTACCAACTGAGCTAGGCTGCCGGATAATTCCCATCTTTGAACAGGGCAGAGACGGAATTCTCTGGGGCTAGGTCCCACTTACACGAATTAAGAGATATTGACCGTAGATAGCGCAGATCAGCGGTCAAAATCTCGTAATCCGTGCGTCCGTGGGACCTTGCCCCCGGAGAGAACAGAAAAAGAGAGGACATCGGCAGTGAGCCGGTTATGGCGCGGCCGTTGTTATGTACGATCGTATTGATTCCGGTATGGTCACATGACCATACCGAGAGGGAGGACCTGGTCGCTGTTAGTAATAGCACTGCCCCGACTCTCAGCAGCTTCATGGTAGATGTTATCAGACTGCTCAGACTGCCGGCAGGAAGTTCAAACCATTGCCTGCCTTGGAACGTCCGGTAATAAAATTGTCCAGTCCAGGAGATATCGTCAATGGCAGTTGATACCCAGAGCGCAGGCATGTCATCAAGAGCTTACGGTGAGGTTATGGCAGCCGGGAAAGTGCTCTTACGCATCCTTTCAATTTCGACGGGAAGCCTCCGTACCTGCAGCGGGCGTGCCTTAGGAGACGACAAACGACAAGTAGCAGCGACGACGTGGGTCGCCCTCCCTCTCCGCTGGGTCGTTTACCCGGAGACGCAGCAAACGGAAAAAAAAAAAAAAAAAAAGGCCTGGCAAAGCGGCGGGAAGGTCCATCCAAAAAGGACTTCCAACACCAAGGAGGACGACCACCAACGCCAACAGAGACGCCAGCGGGGACGAGAACCGTCTGCCCAGCTCATCTCCCCCGCCCCCGCCCCGCAACGTTGGGAGGCAGGCTGCAAGCACCCACCCAACACCCAATGATAGGCCAAGAGGGGTCGACTGCTCTTTCCAGTTCACGGCCCCTACGAGTCCTGCGAACAGTCCCCAAGGCGGAAGCCTCTGCTTTTGTTGTCGCTTTTTTCCGTCGCTGTGTTTTTTTCTGGTTTTATTTCTTCTTGCCTTTTTCTGCATCTTTTTTCTGGTTTTCTATTCTTTTTTCGTTTCCCGTCGTTCTTTTCGGCGGGGAGTAATTATTGCCTTTTATTTTTTCCTTCGGTAATTATGAGGTCTTCCATCCAAACAGTGCACCAATAGGCGATAAGATTCGCCTGGGGTCAGACCGCCGTACGGCCATGGGATGCCTCGATCCCTCGCCTTCTGTCGTCGCCTTGTCACGGCTTGCGTTTTCCGGCCGCGCGGGCGGGAGGAGTGCGATCTGGTCCTGCTGCTGTCCTTTGCGCTCTTCTGCTGCTTTCGTGACTTTCGGTCGTCGTTTTTGTTTTTTTCTTCACGCGCGTTTGTCCGCTGCGCTTCACTTTTTTTCAATTTTCAATTTTGCGCTGGCTTTTGCTTTTTTCCGCGTTCGCGGGTGCCACACACAGACACCGCAGTGCGGTAGCGGTAACCTTCGTGGCCGCGGCCTTGCGCGCGCGGTGCGTGCGCGCGACTCAACGCGCGAACAGGCGTTTGCTGCGATGCAATGATCCAGCGCGTCCCAGCGCGCTGCTGAGGAAACGAGGCCACATTTCGGTTCCGCGGGGAATGCTAAGGGGCCCATCGCGGGTCTCTCAACGACTGCGCTGAAGGAGCGCGAGGAGGTGGGTGGGGGGAATCGGATTTGGCTGGCGACGGGGGGGGGGTTGAAGGGATGGGGAAGGGGAGCCCCTTTTGCGGAGCCACGCCGCTCGGGGAAAGGTGCTGAGGGGGGCACTTTGGTTGGTAGTGGGCCTGTCTGAGGGGCCGCTGACCCCGGTCACGCGGGTAGCTTTGCGTTCGCTCGCCCTCCTTCGCACTCGCCCCTGCCCTGTCTTGCCCCTCCCCTCCTGCTCTCTCCCTTTCTCCCTCCCTCATTCTCCTCTCTCTCCCGCGTGCTCCGCTCCCCTCCGCTCGGCCGGCCTGTTTCGCGAGCATTTGCTTGGCCCATCGTCGACGTTTCTTCTGCGTCGCGACGTTCGACGTTCCAGGTGTGTGGCGCTTGGTGGTCAAGCTCAGCAAAGGGAGACGGAAAAGAACCAGTGTGCTTCCGGGGGTGTTAGGTGTCGGGTGTGGGCGACGTGGCCCACGCAGAAGCGAGGAAGAAGAAGTGACCGCGTTCGCGGATGATTTATTTTAGTTAATCATTAGCCTCCTCTCGTCATTCCCGAGGGGTTTAAATGGTGTACGTGTACAGCAGGGCGTCAGGGCCAAGCGCAGCGGCTGGTGCGTAGGAGGGGGGTTGTATGACAGGCAGAGCGATTTACGAAGGAGGAAGGGGCGTTTCTTTGATCGGGGCAATCACGGGGAGACTGGCGGAGGAACACACCTGCCGTCACCATGTCGTCGTCCTTCTCCAGCCTGTTCCACGATCAGGGATTCATCCATCATCTGCCCAACCCACCTGTAGAGGTGCACCCATCAACCCATCCTCAACCCCATCCTGCCATCTCCTCCTTCACCCCCTTCTCTCATCGCCCTTTCTCTCTCTGCTCCCTCTTGTCTTTTTCTTTTATGTTCCTTCTCCCCCGTTAATTTTCCTCTCTCATAAACGCGAGAACTGAAACATGGAGAGCTAAACTCTAAGTGCACGACACGTGGACAGCCTCTCTCTCTACTACTCTAAGAGTCTAAGACACAATGAAACCATCCCTTTTGTATGTCGTAGACAAATTCATCGAGACTGGTGCCAAAATTCCAGTATGTTGCGAAAAATGGTGTACCCACATCAAAAAAACTCTCAGAAAACGTGACAAGCGCAATTGTCTATCGTCAAATTCGTCATGTCCGCGCTCTCAGCTTTCCATCTATGCTGCTGCGGTATTCATTGAACTGTCGCCATGCTATTCACCGGCCTCTTGCGTCTTCGCCGCCCTGAATAATCCCATTCACGTGTGTAAGCGCGAGCAGCGCAGGCTTTAGAGAGCCTGGACAAATGCCGCGCTCCTGCCATTGCGCGTGTATTAAATGCCGCGCTCGCGTCCCAACCTTGTGTAGTGACCTCGCTAGAGATTTGGCGGAAAATTCATGTACGACTCGCGCAGGCACATCACTTCCTCGGCGTTCTGTGATTCCTTCTCGCCTGCGGGCTGCACTGGTTCTATCTGCGCGTGCCAGTCTCTCTGTGTCCCTCACACTCTGTCTTCCTATCTCGGTCTTCGCGTCTCTGGCTTTTCTCTGTCGTTGTTTGTCTCTTTACTGTCGTAGGAGGTATTGTTTCTTTCGCCCTCTCTCCCTCTCCATATCTTTCTATCACTTTTGCTCCTTCAATTCTTCTCCTTTGAACTCGTCACCTTGGTTGTTCCGTCTGTACCTCTCTCTCCTTCAAACGACGCCAACCCGCACGGCTGTCTGGGCATTCTTCATCTCTTCTGCTTGCTCTCGCTGTAAGTCTTTCTGTAATTTCTCCCTTCGTGTCTTTGTTCCACGCTCCTGTCACTTCTCTCCCTCTCCCTCTCCCTCTGCAATTTCTCTTCTTGTATTTTCATGCCATTCTCCCCTCCCCCCTCTTCCGTCAATTTATCCTTTCTTGGTCATCCTCCCCTCCCATCTCCAGAATCCCTGCCACGCTGGGGGGATGTCTCCTCTCTCTTCATTCTACATCACTACCTGTTCTTTTTCTCTCCTATGCGTCGCTCCCCTTCCTCCCCTTCCTCCCCTTCCTCCCCTTCCTCCCTTTCCTCCCCTTCCTCCCCTTCCTCCCCTTCCTTCCCTTCCTTCCCTTCCTCCCCTTCCTTGGTTTGAGTCTTGTTTCCATGTCTCTGTTGCCTCAGGTCTGTCATCAGGTCTTTTCCGTCTTCTCGTATTCCCGTCATGTCTCCTAGCCAGTCATCCTGTCCTAGGTTCCCCATCTGTTCGCGGTTACGTTGATGCCGGCAGTCTCTTAACGTCCTTCCCTCAGTCCCCTATACTCCGCGCGAGGCGCTCTGTCTCTCCGGTGGAGGGAGGTCTATAGCCACTTCCCCGCCTTCCTAGGATCTGCCAATTCTATCCATCTGCCGCTCCCGTCCTCTCTCACCCCTCTTGGCGTCTCTCCCTACTCTTACGGGCGGGTTCCATACACATACCATTCTTCTGTCGTTCCCCTCTTCTCCAACCCCACTTTTTTTTTTTTTTTTCCCACTTTTCTCTTTCCATCATCTTCGGCGGACGAGTTCTCGGTCGGTGCCTGCGGTCGTTCTCGGCGTTTCATCCCTGCCGTTGTCAGCTCCTTGGTTCTCTTCCTTATGTCATCATTTGCTCTCCGCTTTGTCAATAGTACGCAACTCTGTTCATTCCTTCACTCGCTCGGCTTTTCTGTTAAATCATTCCGTTTGCCTCTCTATATTCAGCACTCACCTGTGTCCTCTTCTCCCCTTCTTCGACTTCTGCAAATCGCTTTTACAATCTCTTTCTTGTTGTTTTTCATTACTTATCCTCGTCCTTCTTCATTGTCGCTCTCCACTGTTCTGTGTTTCTTGCCCATTCCCTTTTCGTTCCGTGCGGTCGTGCATTCTCTCTTCCCTCTTTTCGGTCGTTTGCCCGCTCTCCTTTGTTTCTTTTTCTCCTCCTCTTCATCTCTCTCCATCACTTGTCTCACCCCAAATTTTTGATCTTCGGTTCCCTCTGGTTCGTTCCTCTCTCTTTCACTCTTACTCCTTCGCTTGTAGTACGCCGGTACACCATACTTTCCTCTTGTTCTTTGGTTTTCACACCAGTTTCCAGTCTTCTTCGTTTTCATTCTTCTCTATTCTTTTCTCTCAGATATCTCCTCCCCCAGTGTCGTCTCCACCGCACCGTTCTCTCCACTGCTTGACGTCCCTTCTCCCCGCTGTCTTCCTCCTTCCGCCATCCTCCTCTGCCCGCCGTCCCCTTCCCGCTGGCGCTCCGTTCCCGCGATCATCGTCGATGATCTCGTGCCGACCGTTCTGTCTTTTCTCCGCTGCCTCCTTCCCGCCACGTTCTCTGTTTTCCGCCGTTTCTCTCCCTCCCGCCAGTTCTGTTCCTCCCCGCTATTCTCTTTTTCCCGCCGTTTCTCTCCCTCACGCCATTTCTGTTCGTGCCCGCTGTTCTCTTTTTCCCGCCGTTTCTCTCCTCTCCGACGTTTTGCGATTCTCTGCTCGCCGTTCCCTCTGTCCTGCCATTCTCTTCCCCGACCGTCTTCTCTCTTCGACGGTCTTCTCTCTCTCTTGAAGTTCTCTTCCCCGCCCTGTTTTCTACCTCGCCGTTCTCCGTCCTGCGTTCTCTCCTCTCTCCCGCGCCATTCCGATACCGCGTGCTTCTTTCTCCCTTCGGCTCCCTTCCCTATTTTCTTTCAGTCCCTTCTACCCCTTCCACTCTCTCCTTTCTAGACAGTGTTGCTCTTACCGCGATCGGTAAACCACCAGTACACGGCACCAGTACACGGCTCTCCTCTCTCTTGGCCTCTCTGTTCTCTTGTCTCGTTGTCACGCTTGTTTGCATCTCTCTTCAAGTTGATTACCCCACCTTACTACTTCTGCAGTTCGTCAGTCCCCATTGCACTCTTGCATCCTCACGTGTTCGCTGCTTATCAATCGCTCCGCGTTTCCACTCTCTTCGCCGTTCAATGTAATGACACAGGTTGTACTCCGCTCTCTTGACTCTCCTGCCTTCTCCATTGACTCTTCCCTGTCACTCTTAGTCGCTTCATTGCTCTCTCCTCATTTCTCTCGTTTTCTATTTTGCAGAGGGAGGGCGTGCTAACACTGGCTTTATCTTTAATGTATCGGACCGTTTTTACGCGTGTACTCGCATGCATCTGACCGCGATCACGCCCTTAAATACGTGTCAAAATTCCCAGTGTGAGTATGACCTCAGTTAAATTTTTGTCGCCTGTAACTCGACCTTCCTCGTTCTCTCTATATACTCTAATCACTCCCTCCGTTCCACGTATTGTCTTTTTCCCCTTTTTTTTTTTTTTTTTTTTTCCCGTTTCCCCTCGCCCTGGTGCTTTCTTTTTTGCTGGGTACTTGTTGATTTCGTTCAGTTCTTTTTTTAAACGTTCTTTGCTCGCTTCTCGTCTTTCTGTTCCGCCTCTCTATGTTCCAGAACGATGTCGTTTTCGCCAGTGGCTGTGAGTCCCCTGTTTTTTAGATGATCCTCGATTCTTTTTTCTTTTTTTTTTTTGTTGGCCTATGTTCGACTCGGTAATCGGTCACCTATCATCTAGCCTTTCTGTTGGTGCTCTGGGTTCTGCTTTGCCTCTGTTTGCGCATACCTTTCGCATCCGCGCATTGCTGTCCCGCCCTGGTCGCGTTCTCTCGACGTCGAAAATGTCGCCTTGGTATTGTATATGTCAGAGAACCTTGCGTTATGCTCGTTCTAGTCCTGATGCCTCCTCACCTCTCTCACACATCCGCAATGCTTTGTGCTTCACTCCTTTTTGGCTTTAACGAGTCTCTCGAGATCATCACTCGCCATGCATAGTCTTTATGTCTTCGTCTGTCTCTTATCCCCTCTCTAAGAATTCTCTTTGTATCGGTTCTCTCTTATTAATTCTCTTTGATCGGTTATCTTTTAGTCTTCTTTCTTGTCTTCCCTCGATTCTTTCGTCTCCTTTTTAAGCCCCCCTTTGGCACATTCTGTGCCATCTCATTTCATCTCCCTCTTATACGTAATTCTCTTCATATCGGTTACTTCTGTTCTCTTGTCCTACCTCATTTCCACCCACCATCTTCTCTAACTGTCCTCTTTATTGTTCTGTTATCGTCACTGTAATCACTTTCTATCTCCTTCATCGTTCCAGCTGACTCTGTCTTTGGATCTCACGTCTCTGTGTCTCCTTGTTTTCCTTTTCGTTTCTCTGTTTTCTTTCGTCTCTCTTTCCCCTTGTCTAGCATTTGTCTGCCTCTTCCTTATTCTATTCTCCTTGAAAGCACTGCGCAGCAGCGAGAGTGCGCGAGCAGCCGTCTCGTCACGTCATACGTTCCTCCTTCCAACGTGGAAAATGATATTTTCTGTTATTTGTTCTCTTATGGTACGCGCGGGGCTTGTAAAATCTATATGATGACATGCATACGTGTTTTTTGAAACTTCTCGCCTAATCTGTTAACCTATCTCGGCTCCCACACACCCCACTCCACTCCTCCACTCCTCCATTCCTCCACTCCTCCACTCCTCCACTCCTCCACTCCTACACTCCTACACTCCCAACTCTCCTACACTCCTACTCTCCCCCTCCTCCTACCGCTCTCACGTTGCTTGTCCTTTCCGGATGTTGTATCTCTGCGTTGCAGCAAGCGCTCACAGAAGCAAGTAGCGCTGCCAATGTAAGGGGAAAAATATGTGGGGGTACAAGAAAGGACTTTGACTTGGGCTCTGATTTTCTGATTTTGAGGTATGCTTATTGCATATCTTTGGTATGGTGTTTGCTTGCCGTCGTTGCAGAGGCAGGTGGGGTTCTGCTGGAAACAAGTGCAGGAAGTCGATGATTTTCACGAGAACGAAGTGCCTTCTTCATCCTCCGTGGAGCCAAGGTCTAATGGTAATTTTTTTTTCCCAATGCATGCTTCGTGTGAGAAATCTCCATGTTGCGTCGTTGCACTTTTCCAGAGAGGGTCGTCGTTAAGGTCTGTCTCATGTGGTGAGTCTTGAACTTAACGCAGCTCAGTCAAAGCTTGCGACTTGTGCAAACTTTGCTGCAACAGGTGATTGGTTCCCATTTCTCGGTGTCTGTTAACAATTCGACTGTGTTTCATATTGGATTACCGGTGATTGGTCGGTTCCAGTGCGCTCCCCTGTCATTCTTCCTCCTGGAAATGTATGGAATGCAGCGACTGGCCTTGGCACGAGAGGCAGGAGGTCGGCATATTGATGGAAGGAAAAATGATGAGGTAGATGCGGTGGATATTTGCCGTTGCAATGCAGCAACAACAGCAGAGGCAATTCGTCGGTAACCGGCGGTGTGGCCGTCCTGTGCCTCCCCTTATTCCTCCTGTCTGTGGCGGGGAGTATATGGCGGGGAGTATATATATATATATATTCATGTGACAGTTCATACGGTGACTCAAACGGTCGCCCCAAAAATAAGAAATAAAATAGACACAAGGTAAAATCGTATATCAAAACGACTTCTGGCATCATCAAAAGGGATAGGGGTCAAAACTTCAATCTGATTTGCACAGACTTACTGAAGTGCCCTCCGAACCGTCTCAGTGTGACAATATATTGTCACACTGAGACGGTTCGGATATTCACAGTGTGACAATATACAAGAGGTTCTGAACAGGGGGAGTTATAAGGAAGAAGATAAATAAAAAACTGAATTCATTGTTTCCTGTTTTTTTTTTTTTCCGCATTTGCGCTCTGATATTCATGTGACAATATATAATATTGTCACAAGAGTATCAGAGCGCAAATGCGAACAAAAAGGAAAAAAGAAAGAAAAACATACTGGTTAAGGAAAGACCAGCCCGCCATCAAACTAGACCCGTTGGAACCCATTAGGCGGAGATTTTCAGCATTTGCGGCCAACAGGAGACAGGTCGTTAGGCTGACAGGTGCGGGCCGTCTGACAGCCAGGCGTGGGGCGTCTGACAGGTGTGGGACGTCTGACAGCCGTTGGAGTGTCTGACGGGTGTGAATCGTCTGACAGGCCTGAGGCGTCTGACATGTGTGAGGAGTCTGACACATGTGGTTTTTCTGACAGCCTTTGGAGCGTCTGTGACAGACGTGGGGCGTCTGACAGGTGTGGGACGTCTGACAGGCCTGAGGTGTCTGACAGGCCTGAGTTGTGAGGAGTCTGACAAGTGTGGGCTTTCTGACAGCCGGGAAGGCGTCTGACGGCCTTTGGAGCGTCTGTGACAGACGTGGGGCGTGAATCGTCTGACAGGTGTGAGGAGTCTGACATGTTTGGGGTGTCTGAATTACGTCCCTCTGCCTGTAAGGGGCTTACTGATGATCGTCTGACAGGTGTGAGGAGTGTGACAGGTTTGGGGTGTCTGAATTACGTCTCTGCCTGTGAGGGGCTTACTGATGATGATGCAAGACACGGCGCACGTGGAAAATTCGGGTCTTGGACCCTGTAGCGAATGGGTAGGTGGCACGCTGAGGAAATTGGTGGTGTTTTGAGGATTTTCCTCATGGTCGGGCCTTCTGGGGTTTAATTATGGAACTCGATGACCTATCGGATCTGCGGTTTGGAAGATTGGAGCCGTGTGTAACTAGTGAACGAGCTCTGTTGCGTGATTGCCCCCGTCTTGTTTAGCGTGGGCGGTCTGGCAAATGGGAAACACGTGAATAATAATATGAGAGATAATACGAGAATGATGGACACTTTGTTTTATGAATTCGACCAAGGGGTTCATCATGTGGACAAACTGATGAGTGAAGAGTCGATCTTCGTCAGGTTCTTCAACCCCGAAGTGCCGTTGTTTTGACGACCGCGGGATGCGGAATCGTTCACGTTTTAATTTTCTAAGTCAGTCGATGGCGTGAGATGCAGCTATTGATGCGCATTTGGAGGTTGTGTCGTCTACCGCATGGATTTTTTTCGCTGTGTGCATTCTCTCTCTCTCTCTCTCTCTGTGTGCGAGCGCATGTTTTGGGAGTGTTTTTTCCTATGCTCGAGTGCATGTTTTGGGAGTGTTGTTTCCTATGCTCGAGTGCGTGTTTTGGTAATTGTGTTTGGATGATTAGCAGAATACGGGGGAGGTAGTTGTGGAGGAAGGTGTGATGGATGGAAATTTGTTGCTTCGGTGCGGAGGTAATTTGTAATTTGTTCTGTTTGATTGTGTGACAGGGCCCGGATCAGAGACTTCTTCATCATTCGACAAGGTCGCGGGGTCGACGTTGAGGCGACAAGGTGCGGCCGTGGGGCCAATAGGGAGTGGAAGCTACGGGGGGGCGACTATGGTGTCCCAGGCGGTCACGTCAGGTCATCAGGAGGACTGGATTCAGGCAGTAAGAGATCCGATGCTGGGAGGGCCGATGCTGGGAGTTGATCTGCTCCTTGGGGGGAGAGGAGCGACGACAAATTGGGCAGCCGTTGGCCCACCATCAGGAACGAGTGTGGAGAGGACGGGGACTGTATCAGCGGTAGCCGGATTGGCATGGAACCACTCTGTGGAGATTCCCGGAGCCAAACCAGAATCTCGAATTTTGCACCAGGCACAGTTGGCCCCGTCGCAGCAGCAGCAGCAGCAGCAGCAATCAGCACAGCAGTCTCTTCAACAGAGTCAGCATCAGCTGTCGCTTTCGCCTCTTGTGAATGGAATGCTGCCAACAGAGCCGCTTCATATGGATGGCATGAGCAGTTTCTGCAGCTCATTTCCATCTCTCTTCAGTAACAGACGTACGTTACATTGCGATTCCCTTTTGCCCATTTTGTATCTTGTGCGCTTCTTCGTTACCTGTTCTCCTCCCACGCCACGGCCATTACTCTCTGCAGGCGATCATTGCCTTTCTCCTCCTTGTGTTCGTACTCCTCCCTCACTCCGTTTGGTGTGATTTCTGTGTCCCACTGCGCATTGTGCAGTTGTTGTCGAAGATGCAAGCGCTGAAGAATGTGGAAATAGGGGGGGGAGAGAGAGAGAGAGAGAGAGAGAGAGAGAGAGAGAGAGAGAGGG